TGAAAGACTTCCCACACTTGGTTGAATTTGGTCACACAGGCTCACTTGAAGTTTTTCACAGTTTTGTTTTGAAATATCATCCAAAAAGAGTGCACTTCTCAATGGACGGCATAGTAGCCAGGACACAATTGGCTGTGCTTGCCCACAATGCCAATGTGGACAGAAAGCAAGCCACAATTCAGAAATTCATGGAGGGAAGTGGACGAATTGGAGAATTTAGTTTCAAACATTTTTTCTCCAAGAGAAACACAACATGGCAAAGTCAAAAAAATTTTTGAGAAAACTACTATTGAGCATATTTTTCCAATGGTGGAAGACATACTAAGACTGGCTTTGGATCAATTAGAAATAAATTGGGAGTCCCAGAGATGTCTATTACCATCAAACATATCGTGAACCCCTCGGCCATCCACCATAGAATTATTAAAGAAACATGTTTCTCGTTTCAGACAAGAAAGACTATAGTTCTTCTTGAGAATTGTTGTTATCTCTTGTTATACTTGTTTTATACATATTATAGTTGAGTACAAATTGTATTTGTTTGATGACCTTATTTTTTTCATAATAATTGGAACTATAGTGATTGAGAGTTAATACACATATTGAAGTAATTACTGTTGATCTTGTCATTTGACGACTTATGAATTTTTTGTTTTGAGAAATAAAATATTGATATAAAATAATTATATTTGAAATGAGTATTGTGAACCTGAATTTATTAAAACGCTTTGATTTATATTAAAAGATTTTTGAGAAACAACATGTGTACTTGACATTATTTGAAAATAAATAAATGTAGACATGTTCTTAGGCAATCAGTGACTACACATTTTACTATTTGCCGTAAAGGTACCTATTACACAACAGTTTTTAAACAGAACTATGGATGAGGCTTCTCAGCTATTTTATTCTTTGTTTTCCTTGCTCGGTGGCACGCTGCACAGTCCTTTTTTTTAACAATTCTTTTTAAGGATGACATCAAGGGAGGAGCAGAGACTGGGGCAGGAGGGAACATAATATTTCCTGTATTGAACTGATGGCACCATAACAACTTTGTTTTGAGGAAGTTGTATGTGTGCCTGTGATAAGGCTATAATATTGTTCAAAATAGTAAATAAGATAATTATGGAATAAATTACCACCAGAAACATGAGATTATAGATCACATCCAACAGATATTATTACACTGTGTTTATTTTTATTTTTTACATTTCATAAATTTTAATTGTTGAAAAGTGAAATCCATACTAAATGTATTATTGGAGAGTGCAGCAACTGTAAGCCATAACACGGTAACACGTAAATGACAAATTAGAATAAGTGTTTTATAGAATTATGTTATTTATACATTTAAAATAGACTATGAATTAAATGCACCTAATGTAACATTAGTGTTAAGATGCAAAAATTAATTGCAAGTAATGCTTTGTATCAAATTCATTTATTTTAGTCATTTTCATAATAATCTTTAAATTATAAATAAATGGATAAATTCTTTAGACAAAAAATAATTTTCAAAGATAAAATAACAATGTTGAATGGTGTGCAATGAAGTAAACTGTATGCAGATTGCAATCCAAAAATGTTGACACGTGCTGTCAACTAAACAAGATCCACAGCAATGGGGTCTTCATTAGCATAACGAAACCCCATGTAAGAGTTGTCTGGTGCAGGAAAATGAGACCTAATCCATTTCATGGCACAGGAAGGAATAGGACAACACCTTTTCGGTCCTAGGTATCCATTTAAGGGACCAAAAGTAATGGGACAGATTAACAGTCATAAATCAAACTTTCACTTTTTAATACATGGTTGCAAATCATTTGCAGTCAATTACAGCCTGAAGTCTGGAACTCATAGACATCACCAGACGCTGGGTTTCATCCCTGGTGATGATCTGCCAGGCCTCTACTGCAACTGTCTTCAGTTCCTGCTTGTTCTTGGGGCATTTTCCCTTCAGTTTTGTCTTCATCAAGTGAAATGCATGCTCAATCGGATTCAGGTCAGGTGATTGACTTGGCCATTGCACTTCTTTACCTTAAAAAAACTCTTTGGTTGCTTTTGCAGTATGCTTTGGGTCATTGTACATCTGCACTGTGAAGCGCCGTCCAATGAGTTCTGAAGCATTTGGCAATCAGATATTTCCCAAAACACTTCAGAATTCATCCTGCTGCTTTTTTCAGCAGTCACATCATCAATAAATACAAGAGAACCAGTTCCATTGGCAGCCATACCTGCCCACGCCATGACACTACCACCACCATGCTTCACTGATGAAGTGGTATGCTTTGGATCTTGAGCAGTTCTTTTCCTTCTCCATACTCTTCTCTTCCCATCACTCTGGTACAAGTTGATCTTGGTCTCATCTGTCCATAGGATGTTGTAACTGTAAAAGGCTTTTTTAGATGTTGTTTGGTCTTCCTGTTTTTGAGGCACACCAATGGTTTACATCTTGTGGTGAACCCTCTGTATTCACTCTGGTGAAGTCTTTGCTTGATTTTTGACTTTGACACACATGCACCTACCTCCTGGGGAGTGTTGTTGATCTGGCCAACTGTTATGAAGGGTGTTTTCTTCACCAGGGAAAGAATTCTTCCCCTGGTCGAGTTGCTGGGTAATTAACTGCAATGCATCATATAAGCGCATACTAAGATAGTGGAGCTTTTGAAATGTTGCCGGTTCATTCCTTCTTGGTCTTGATAGAACTAACTTGTATAGAACTGACAATAATTCATTCTGTAGGGTGTTGCTGAGCTCCCCGGTACATTCTTTCTTTTTAAGGATGTTCCAAACAGTTGATTTGGCCACACCTAATGTTTTTGCTATTTCTCTGATGGGTTTGTTTTGTTTTTTTTCAGCCTTATGATGGCTTGCTTCACTGATAGTGACAGCTCTTTGGATCTCATATTGAAAATTGACAGCAACAGATTCCAAATGCAAATAGCACACTTGAAATGAACTCTGGACCTTTTATCTGCCCCTTGTAAATGGGATAATGAGGGACTAACACACACCTGGCCATGGAACAGCTGAGCAGCCAATTGTCCCATTACTTTTGGTACCTTGAAAAGTGGGAGACACATATACAAACTGTTGTAATTCCTACACCATTCACCTGATTTGGATGTAAATACCCTCAAATTAAAGCTGAAAGTCTGCAGTTAAAGCACATCTTGTTCATTTCATTTCAAATCCATTGTGGTGGTGTATAGAGCCAAAAAGATTAGAATTGTGTCGATGTCCCAATATTTATGGACCTGACTGTACTTTCCTCTTCGCTTGTCATCGGCATACATTTACCACATTGACACCATTCTGTTGATCCAGCTCTTGTATTAGAAGTGTCTGAAGAACTGTCTTCAGTGATGGTATCATCAGGGGGATCCCAGGCCATGCTATTCAGCACCACTGCACTAGGCTTCCTCTGATGGCGTGCCTTGTAAAAATCTGCTATCTACACTGTAAATTATTTTGTATTTAAAATTATGTTATGTTAAAATAATTTACTGATTCTAAATTATTTATCATAAATTTGAATGATAAATTCCATGTTAACATTGTTTATAGATTTTAGGAATACACCATTTAATAAATTCACGCTAAACTCATGCCAATGAGTTAAATATTGGCAAAAGGTACTATTGTTTACCAACTAGTGTTAGACAACACTATTGCACCCAGGTTTAGTTGCCATGGGAACTACATTAAAATTAAAATAATGAATAATAAAATTGGTAAATTAAAATTCCACCCTAAAAATACAAATAATCTTTTATTAGATTACCTTGAAGTTCAGCACCATTTTCATTTTCAATTTGTGACGAATGTCCACTTATACCCACTTAATTTATTAGAAAATATTAAAATGACAATTAGCAAAATAAAGTTATTTAAAATGTAAACATTGTCTTCATTTATTTTATTTTTTGGGTGGTGCCAGACAATTTCTTGAATCAGTCAAGGTGTGAAGAGTGGGGTGGTCCACTACCGCTGTGTTCAACAGTGTCACAATTTAAACTACGAATGATTACAAAGATTTGAAAGAGGAAGGTAAGACAAAGTTTTGAATGTAGCAAATAAAATGCAAGGTAAGACAGTGTTCCTGCAGCTCATGCATATCCAGACAGTGAATGCGCTGGCCATGCATGATGGTGGAGAGCGCTACTACACCTGAGTTAAATGAAGGGAAAGAGCTTGATAAAAAGAGAGTGTCAAGTCATCCCCCCCTTTACTATATCTATAGAGACAGTTAGTATAGATCTATACACATACCCAAATGGAGAGAGAGAGTGAGAGAGAACATCCAAATTAATAAAAACAAATTATATTTTACTCAAAATGTATGTTGATTTTAAAAACCACAGTATAAAAAAAAACCTCAACCTCCCCCTCTACTAAACCACATCACCCCCCTCAACCACCCTGTGCTAAATCTGATCCTCCTGCTGACACACACACACACACACACACACATATTCCATGACAAACACACACATACTCACAGACACACACACTGACAGACACACACACTGACAGACAGACACACTCACTAACAGACACACTTACACTTTTCTTTGTTGCTACATACCTTATGTAGCCGATGTGGGGCATCTTCCTGGGGTCCTTTGATCTGCTCCACACTGCTCCCTCACGCGTTTTAGTGGTGCCGGAATGTCAGGTCATATTCCTGCGCCCGGCTTCACTTCAGACGTCATGCGCAAGGAAGTAGTGAGAAGCGGGAGCACTGACCTCCCTCGCTGGCCCTCCTCCCCGTCCGGGAATGTTTTAGCAGAGTAGATACAGAGAGAGAGACATTTGTGTATGGAGAGAGATGTGTAGAGAGGTCAAGAGGTCTCGCTCTCTCTGTGTGTGTGTATGTATATGTGTGTATGTGTATATGTATATGTATATATATATATACACACACACACACACAACTTTATCACTATCAAAATATATATCTATAGAGCGACGTATGATTAGCTCTATATATCTAGAGAGAGAGGTTGAGAGGTCTCTCTCTCTCTCTTTCTCTCTCTCTTGCTCTCTCTCTTGCGCTCTCTCTCTCTCTCTCTCTCTATATATATAGATAGAGAGAGAGAGAGAGAGAGAGAGAGAGAGAGAGATAGATAGATAGATAGATAGATAGATAGATAGATAGATAGATATAGAGAGAGAGAGAGAAAGAAGAAAGAGAGAGACCTCTCAACCTCTCTCTCTAGATATATAGAGCTAATCATACGTCGCTCTATAGATATATATTTTGATAGTGATAAAGTTGTGTATGTGTGTGTGTGTGTATATATATATATATATATATATATATATCCAACCTTTGTAATCCAGGGAGCACACTGGGTCTTGAACTTAGTGAAAAAAGTTACTTTAATGTATCAAAAAAAATACATCTGCTGTGAGTTACACACCGACCAACGTTTCGACCCTCCTGGGGTCTTTATCAAGATCACAGTGACACAATACATGAACAACAATATATACATAAATGTACACTAAACTTACCAATAGAGTGATGGAGCAGCCGCCGGACTGAACAACCCGGAAGTGAGAGACCCACGTGCACACATGCGTCTGACGTACGTGACAGGGGTTGCTAAGCAACCTAGCGAAACAAAGTGAGTGTATGCGGCAAAGAGCCGGACCAAAGTCCCAAACTTTCAAGTACAGAGTAAAACATTAGGAGGAACTAAAATATCTTCCACCTAGCCTCCTGCAGCACAGAAGAGATTCTATACCAACTGTGCCAAGTGACCTGAGTGCAGTCCTGAATAAAAGTGCCCAAATAGTGAACGGACTCTATATCAAGTGAGACCAAATCTGTGCATGACATAGGCTGAAAGGAAGTAAAGGGTATAAGGCAAATGTCGTAATTACAATAATCATCATAGGTACCATTAAAGTACAGCATTAAATATATATCAAGAAAACATATTTCTATTTTAATCACTACATCAAAAGCTGAGCATAGACTATATATAGTGTATTACTGAACACTGGAGAAAATAGTAAATACTAGTACAGCCAAATCTTATTGTAGGGATAACCACCTTATTATAACTGGCCGGCAAACAATTCATCTATCTACACGTAGTACATTACCACCTAAGTGTCAAGAGGTTAGTCAGACTATTTATCAGAAAACCAAATAAATAAAAAATAAAAAATAAACAATGAATCTATACTGGAAAAGGCACGGTGGGACCATCTATGGAGGACACAGATAGAGACACAAAGAGAGACATACATGCTAATCTCAGGGGTAATTAGGTGATCGATCTGTGTATTCCCATAAATTAATACATAATGCTTGTATCTATAAGCCAACAGTCAAGGGAAGCGCAATGAACCAGCAATGTATTTAAAGAAACATAGAAAGAACTAAGTTCTCATTGAGTCCTTTCGGCGTCACTGTGTTTAGGTGATAGATCCAATGAGCTTCACGCTGTAGAAGGAGTTTAGACCTGTCCCCTCCTCTTGGTTGGACAGGTACATGATCGATCGCAATGAACCTTAAAGTTGGTAAATGATGTTGCATCGCAAGAAAGTGTTTTGCGACCGGTTTGTCCGTTCTTTGGTCCCTGAATGCAGTAAGAATCCCCGACCGATGTTCCCTAATCCGATCCCGCAAAGTCATATCGGTCTTACCGACATATGCAAGTCCACAGGGACATGTAATCATATATATGACATGTGTGGTCATACAAGAAATATAGTGTTTAATAGGAATTCTTTTTCCATTATGCGGGTGGACAAATGTCTGTCCAATTAGCATATGACTGCATGTGACGCAGCCACTGCATCTATAACAGCCTTTTTTATGAATTTTTGGTGGTGCAGCGTAACACTGTCGAGGGTCATTTTTTACCAACAGGTCTCTCAAATTACGATTACGTCTATAGCTGATAGTAGGGTGTACTTTGAATCTGTCAGGAAGATTCTGATCGCACTGAAAAATATCCCAATGTCTATATATAGATTTTTTAATTAATGGGGTAGCTGTGTTAAACGTAAGCGGAAGAAATATATTCTTCTTTTTATTATCTTATGGAATGGCTAGATCTTGCATTAACGTGTAATTACTTTAAGTTCGAGGAACAATTCTACCTACAAGTCTCCGGTACTGCCATGGGTGCAGCCATGGCACCAGCCTATGCCAATGGGTTTATGCACTGGTTCGAGCATAAATATATCTTACGTGAGTACCAACAGTACATAATTAAATATCTCAGATATGTGGATGACATCTTTATGATCTGGGAAGGAACATCTACTGCACTCGAGGAGATGATAAAGTACATTAACGATCTCCCTATTCCAGTAGTGCTGACACTCTCTTGGCACAGCACTAATATCGAGTTTTTGGATGTCAAGATCTATAAGGAAGGCAATCAATTAGGGTTTACATTATTTCGCAAACCCACTGACCGCAACACACTGTTGGCTGCTACTAGTTTCCACCCACAACATGTGAAGGACTCTTTACCTGTCTCACAATTTTTGAGAGTCATGAGATACAACAGTGATCCAAATCGACGCGATCAGCAGCTCCAAGAAGTGTGGGACAGATTTATAACAAGAGGATACCATTCTCGCATTCTGAAGAATGCAAAAGAAAAAGCATGGACTAAATTCAATCAAACTGAAGCACCCCAATCTAATAAAAAGAAGAATATATTTCTTCCGCTTACGTTTAACACAGCTACCCCATTAATTAAAAAATCTATATATAGACATTGGGATATTTTTCAGTGCGATCAGAATCTTCCTGACAGATTCAAAGTACACCCTACTATCAGCTATAGACGTAATCGTAATTTGAGAGACCTGTTGGTAAAAAATGACCCTCGACAGTGTTACGCTGCACCACCAAAAATTCATAAAAAAGGCTGTTATAGATGCAGTGGCTGCGTCACATGCAGTCATATGCTAATTGGACAGACATTTGTCCACCCGCATAATGGAAAAAGAATTCCTATTAAACACTATATTTCTTGTATGACCACACATGTCATATATATGATTACATGTCCCTGTGGACTTGCATATGTCGGTAAGACCGATATGACTTTGCGGGATCGGATTAGGGGACATCGGTCGGGGATTCTTACTGCATTCAGGGACCAAAGAACGGACAAACCGGTCGCAAAACACTTTCTTGCGATGCAACATCATTTACCAACTTTAAGGTTCATTGCGATCGATCATGTACCTGTCCAACCAAGAGGAGGGGACAGGTCTAAACTCCTTCTACAGCGTGAAGCTCATTGGATCTATCACCTAAACACAGTGACGCCGAAAGGACTCAATGAGAACTTAGTTCTTTCTATGTTTCTTTAAATACATTGCTGGTTCATTGCGCTTCCCTTGACTGTTGGCTTATAGATACAAGCATTATGTATTAATTTATGGGAATACACAGATCGATCACCTAATTACCCCTGAGATTAGCATGTATGTCTCTCTTTGTGTCTCTATCTGTGTCCTCCATAGATGGTCCCACCGTGCCTTTTCCAGTATAGATTCATTGTTTATTTTTTATTTTTTATTTATTTGGTTTTCTGATAAATAGTCTGACTAACCTCTTGACACTTAGGTGGTAATGTACTACGTGTAGATAGATGAATTGTTTGCCGGCCAGTTATAATAAGGTGGTTATCCCTACAATAAGATTTGGCTGTACTAGTATTTACTATTTTCTCCAGTGTTCAGTAATACACTATATATAGTCTATGCTCAGCTTTTGATGTAGTGATTAAAATAGAAATATGTTTTCTTGATATATATTTAATGCTGTACTTTAATGGTACCTATGATGATTATTGTAATTACGACATTTGCCTTATACCCTTTACTTCCTTTCAGCCTATGTCATGCACAGATTTGGTCTCACTTGATATAGAGTCCGTTCACTATTTGGGCACTTTTATTCAGGACTGCACTCAGGTCACTTGGCACAGTTGGTATAGAATCTCTTCTGTGCTGCAGGAGGCTAGGTGGAAGATATTTTAGTTCCTCCTAATGTTTTACTCTGTACTTGAAAGTTTGGGACTTTGGTCCGGCTCTTTGCCGCATACACTCACTTTGTTTCGCTAGGTTGCTTAGCAACCCCTGTCACGTACGTCAGACGCATGTGTGCACGTGGGTCTCTCACTTCCGGGTTGTTCAGTCCGGCGGCTGCTCCATCACTCTATTGGTAAGTTTAGTGTACATTTATGTATATATTGTTGTTCATGTATTGTGTCACTGTGATCTTGATAAAGACCCCAGGAGGGTCGAAACGTTGGTCGGTGTGTAACTCACAGCAGATGTATTTTTTTTGATACATTAAAGTAACTTTTTTCACTAAGTTCAAGACCCAGTGTGCTCCCTGGATTACAAAGGTTGGATATATATAACGCGGGTTTGCACCTGGGCATTTATACTATGTATGTATGGAGGAGGAGTGCCTTGCCTTACTGATGTTTTTGATATATATATATATATATATATATATATATAGATATATATATAGAGAGAGAGAGAGAGAGCGAAAGTTTATCTTAATATATATAGAGAGACATTTGTGTATGGAGAGAGAGGTGTAGCGAGAGTGAGAGTTCCATAGCCCTATCTCTGTCTCTTTCTTTATCTATCTATCTATCTATCTATCTATCTATCTATCTAATACTATAAATATGTTGTACTGTTTATAGCGAGTGCCAGGGCTTTGGACTTTTTTATATCTTTATTAGATAATACATTTATGTTATATTGTTTATGGTGAGTGTCAGAGCTTTGACTTTATGAAATACATACATATATATATATATATATAATACACAAGATCCAGCGCACTCACCTATCCACTAAACAGCAACTTCAATGTTGAAAGATTTTATTTGTTTTTTTAAAAACACCTAATCTAGGCAAAAATAATGGGGTTTAGTTACATTATATGATCATACATTGCATAAGCCTGCCACAACGTCAATGTACCCCATCTTTGGCAGGTCCTACACTAACAGCCTAATGTCTGCTCTTATGAGATTAACCTACTTGGGGAAAAATTCCATCTGGGGCTCTCTGCAGTACAAGGCTAAATAGGGCCCTGGGATGAGGCACCTGTGACAGGGAGGGGTGCAAAACCAAGGAG